CAAATCAAACTATGAGACAGTCAATCGGCGTCATCGATACATATTGTGAGTAGAGTTTGTGTGTAAATGAATGAGTGCGGCATTATGTCAAAGGATTCACACAACACTTTGGTGTCGATACGAGTCGATGACGCCGATTGACTGTCTCATAGTTTGATTTGACTGCAGGTGTACACAAAAAATCTCTTTTTCCTGTACTAGTTAATGGCAACGTCTACTAATAAAATGATACCTATAACGGGGGTCACTATTTCAGTGTATGTTTACTGCAGTACTGCACTCCACCTCCATTCCCCCTGGTAAATCTTCACGTGATCGCTCTGTATATCTAGAGTAACACTAAAAATGACTAATCTAAACATAAATCCGAAAATTGAACATGATCTTTGCAATTAAAATTATTAAAAGCTAAGCTAACATTGCACACTCGGTCATACAGTATAAAAACTTTTAATTCAAACCCAATTCATTAATACTTTTTAAAATTTTATTCTTGATTAAATTGATCTAGGCCATAATACCAATAAATAAGACATGACCATAATATGATAAATATAAGGGTTAGACATATTGGGCGCCGCCATCGACCACGAAGTTGGATCCGGTCACAAACGACGCGTCATCGGACGTCAAATATAACACGGCTTTTGACACATCCAGGGGCTCACCCACCCGTCCTATCGGGCACCTCTTGGCTCCCTCTTCGTATAATTCATCGGATTTTGCTTTAGTAACGTTACGATAGATTTCGATAAACTCGGTCTTAACGGGACCGGGACTTTTGACGTAAACATATTTAATGTAACAAGCACAGTAATTTTATATTAATCAATTACTAGCGAATATAAGCAAGCACATACTTGACAACGTTAGCCCGGATGCCTTTGGGGCCCAACTCGAGCGCTACGCACTTTGTGAACATATCTAGCGCCGTCTTTGACATTGAATACATCAATTGGTTTTTCTATTGATAAATCAAAATTAAAATTATATTTAAACAGGGTAATTCAATAAGTAACTATGCAAAAGATGAATTCATAATAAGAGCATTGAACCTCATAAATCCGAAAATTGAACATGATCTTTGCAATTAAAATTATTAAAAGCTAAGCTAACATTGCACACTCGGTCATACAGTATAAAAACTTTTAATTCAAACCCAATTCATTAATACTTTTTAAAAT